GTTTCGTTTGAAACCCGCAGATCTCTGTAACCATTATCCACGGCAATTTAATTTGTCAATTATCCATGGCAAAAAAAACAATATTTTGGAAGCCAATGAATTAATATGCGGTGGATTTGGGTCTAGGCAGGGCCGATTTCTGCCGGTTTCGTTTGAAACCCGCAGATCTCTGTAACCATTATCCACGGCAATTTAATTTGTCCATTATCCATGGCAAAAAAAACAATCACCCTTACAGAGTTTCAGTCTTGAAAATGAAATCTTTTCAGACACAAGCCCATTGAATCTGCTACTAATCTCCCCAAAGCAGACCCCCACAAGTTTGAAAATCCTATCTGGCATTCTATCTGGCAAATCTTCTGGCATTCAATCTGGCAAACATTCTGGCACTGTATCTGACATACCATCTGGCATTCTATCTGGCATATCTTCTGGCATTCTATCTGGCATATCTTCCGGCATTTTATCTGGCATATCTTCTGGCATTCTATCTGACATGCTATCTGGCGTTCTATCTGGCATATCTTCTGGCATTCTATCTGGCCGTTGAGGTCCAGCGGTGCTCACTGAGCTCGGCGGGTCCCAGGTTGAGGTCCAGCGGTGCTCACTGAGCTCGGAAGGTCCCAGGTTGAGGTCCAGCGGTGCTCACTGAACTCGGCAGGTTAAAGGGTGGGGTCCAGCGGTGCTCACTGAGCTCGGCAGGTCCCAGGTCGAGCAAGAGCTTGGCGAAGAGTTGGCAAGGCGGAAGTGAACATGGGAGTGGAGGCAGAGGTGGTGGAGGAGAAGGAGGAGGACGAGGAGGAGGAGGAAAAGGAGTAGAAGGAGGAGAAGGAGAAGAACAACTCTGATAACATCTAACAACCCTCACCTGGCAGGTGGGGAAAAATATGTATACACATGTGTGTATATATATATATATACATCGATGTGCATATATATATATATAGATATATAGTATATATATATACTATATGTATAGTAAATATTTATATATATATATAGAGTAAATATATATATATATAAAGTATATATATAGTACATATATAGTGTATATATATATATACACTATATATATACTATATATATATAGTATAGTATATATAGCATATATATATGTAACATATCCACATATCTATAAGACCATATATATATACATATGTGTGTGCATTTAAAACTAGAGATTCAAACCTTTTATAACATCAAATGTACTGTAGTCTGTTCACTGATGATTTGGTGATATTAATTGGCATATTGGGATGCCATCTACCTACATAACCCTAAATAGACCACTCCATCCGCCCAACTGCAACCCAGCGTCTTTGCAGGAGCTCTGCCGCTGCCAGCCACCACTGCTGGGTGGTTGGTGTTTGGAGTGGGGGCTATGGGTCCCCCATTTATTACAACAATATACCAACAATAATTTTCAGAAATCCACCCCCAAATCCATTTCATACTAACCCTAATCCATTTCAATTCCTTACCTCCTCTTTTTTTACTTGTGTATGCTTCCTGCTGGGCCCCTTCCCCCCCTTGCCTCTTCCACTTCCCAGGTTTTCATGCTACCTATCGTACCATATATTAAGTATTGATATTCGGAGATGGGTCAATACCTGAGGCCAATTATAGGAACATGGGAATCGCGGGATGAACATAATATGTGCCAGTGCCAGCCAACTATTTTAGTGCTCACCTAAAGTCCCAAAGAGCCTTGATCGACACCCATATGAATAGCATCATACGGCATCATCCGCATCATTCATTTAACTACGATCTCCAAACACTTCAAACTATGCATGCACTACCTAATTGGCAATATTGATCAGCTATTATATGACTATATGTTGCAAATAATATTTGCTGTTTATAGTTTATAGTTTATAATATGCTACGTTCATATACTTGTGCCATATACTACTGGTACCATTGTGTACTATATTTTGTATATTATACAAATTCTTTAGATAATTTTATACACACGATTCGCAACATGCTACATACTGCGCAAGTAAAGTGCACTACCTATATGCCAGCTCTGTACTGCCTCTATAGTGTATTGTTCGTAATCATGCATACTTGTAGTGTCCAGATTATATCACATAAATTACTTCACGCGACTTACATGACAATGCGAACATACACACGAAACCCCGAGCCCTCCGGATCCGCATCCCCGATTTTGGTGCACCTTTGGTGTGCGCCCTGCCATAAGAATCCAGAAGTCATAAGCCTGTCATAAGCATCACAAGTTCAATAAGGCCACTTCCGAGAGAAATCTTCGCGCTCACGGAGCTTGGAGCGGCGCAGAGAGTCAGTTCGATGGCGCTGAGGCCCGGTGACTGTGATGGCAATGGGTTTTGGGTCTTTTGGGCCGTGTGGGCCTTTTTGGATGCTGTTTATAGCTTGAGGAATGGGGAGCAGATCGATGTTTGTTGCTATCTATTGGCATTGGATTTGGTTCAATCAGCGTCCGTCAGGCAGAAAAGGCACCATGGCTCAAATTTTGCGTGCCACAACCCTTCGCACCCGCACCACCGCCCACCGCACCACTCTGCAGGTGGTTGGCTGAACCTCAAGCTGTTGTGGTCAAAAAAGTGCTCGGAAATTCGCTGCATTACTCTACGCCTCAGGAATTGTAAAAGAACAGAAAACGCCTAAGACCCTCCTAATGTCACATTATGGACGACGGACGTTAGACTTGCAGTGAGACAATGTTAGCTGCATAGAAAAGAACTGCAACATTACAAGTGGAATCGTTCCAAATTTGACGGTGAGGCAAAGACCACCACACAAACTGCAGTCAGCCGCGTGCCCAGAGCTGATCCAGGGTGGAGGGCTCTTGTGTTGCAAAGTTCACTTGTAATATCGTGTAATTATATAGATTTCCATTGAGTGAGATTTGAGTAACACTTGCATGCGTGTGTTCTTAGTTGGGCCTTTTTGGAATTTTTGGACATACGGCTAAGATGCCGTATTGAGGAGGATTAGACAGGTGTCGGGACATGATACATTTTGCTTACACCATGTAGATAGCGGTTTGGAATAGCTACTTTGTCTGCAGAAGATTGGAGGTTACTGCTTACCAGAGGCCGAATGGTGCGTCTGTATCGGTTTGGCCAAGGCAACCAGCCAAAAGCTGCAAAGATGATCGAGCCCGTTGAGGCAATGCACGGATATCTCTAGCCAGACGTCTCCGTGGCACTTTCTTGCTCATCTAAAGCAGTTTCAAGCTAGTCTTTTTTGAAAACACATTTCTCAACTTTTATCGATTGCCTTTGCTCAACTCACTGATCATGAAATCTGCATAATGGGTCCTGCTTCGCATGTCAAGCGTCCTGCTGAGTCTTACTCTGCTGTTCCTTGCCCTTGCTGATGAAGTGGATTCCCACTCATCTCTGCACACTCTTGGGCAAAACAATCAGGGGCTGAACAGTATTGCAAAACCATTTTGGGAGGAAACAAATAGCAAACACACACACACACATTCAGAGAAGCAGACCTGGGCTTGTACATCAGGTCCAAGCCCACCAGTTGTTCTCAAAATATTGGTAGGATTTGGCAGGCTGATAATGGCTGGTACCTCCTAGATTGTAGGCCAAGTGGCAACCAGCGCTTTCCGTGGTTTTGACACATTTTGACGCTCACAGGAGCTCTTCCGGAGACACGATGAACAGCGTGAACAGTGGGTTTCAGCAACACGCCTGAAGTATCATGAAATATCATGAAGTCAGGGCCACGCAAGCTATGATACGCTATGCTTGAATCATTTCTTAGGTTGGAAAACAAGCGATGTAAATTCCGTATGTTTCGCATTTGTCCTGCATTTGTCCTGCCAGGAAGCCCATTTGGCCATTTGGTGTTGTGCCACGCATTTTCTTCGAAGCCCCCGTCAATGGTCACTGTCATGAGGCAAGCAACGATGAAAAAGGCAAGCAACGGTGGGCAGCCACTTGGCTGCAGGGAGACATTTTTTTCGCTCCCTGGATCCTGATGATCCTATCCTGCAAATGGGAAATCGTAAATTTTGAAGACCTTATTTTTTAATTAAAGTTAAAGAATTATTCAAGAATTATTAGAAAGGATTTGACGGTAATTTAACGGATTTGACATGTTTGACATTTTTTGACAGCCCTTTGCGATGCAGTTTGTTTTGGGGCCCGTGTCTTGAGTCAGGTGAAACAGGTTGAAGAACCTGCAGTAGACTGGGCTGAGAGCGGAAACCAGGCAGCTGAGTCATATTGAGTCATGCTTCCGCCCTTGGCTGTGCCAGTACGAAGTGCGTCATTATGAAATCATATGAAATCAGGCAATCCCAACATTCTGAAGTGCAAAGTGCTTCAAATGCAAAATCGTTCTTTTGCAAAAACCGATGTTTTGAAGCCAGTTGAGTTTTGACGGGCGTGGAAGGATTGTCAAGCACTGGACAGGAGGATTTAGCGACAGACATACTAGTAGTATCTAGTAAGTAGTAATAACATAGAATTGTAATACCATTTGTGTCCAAGCCATGCTATGTTGATCTTGCAGGATCGGGCGCTGGTTGGCCATTCAAAGGCGCGGCCAGTCTTGGCCAGCTTCTTTGCCGGTTCCAGCGAAGCAAACCCGCCACACTTCACTAATTTTCACTCCCCCGAAAGACATTTTCAGGTTTCTCTTTGGAAAGGCTTTTAGCCACAGGTTTGCATTCTCCTTGTGCATGTAATTAGCTTCGGTGTCCCTTAGCTGAGATTTGCTGCACTTTATCATGTTTTATCATTGCCTGGCCATTGAATTCCTGTGGCTTTTTGCACTTTCTTGTTTGTGCAGGGCTCTGGTGCAGCACGAAGCAACGCTGATTCCTCAGTTTTCTCTACTCGTAGCATCACCCAAACCACTTAGGACCCAACCTTGGACCAATTGCACGATCAAACCTGGGTCAGGGCATCCTGAAAGGGGTGTTGTCTCAGCTGCCCAAGGCCAAAGAGCCGGAGTCAGACAAGACAAAGGTGGATGTGAAAGAGGAGATGAAACCGCCAAAAGCAGAGGAGCCCAAAGAGCCCAAAGAGCCCAAAGAGCCCAAAGAGCCCAAAGAGCCCAAGCCATTGCCCAAAGATGCAAAGCAGAAAAAAACCAAAGAAGCCAAACAGGTGCGGCCAAAGTTGAATGATTTTGAATTGGGGCGGCGTTGAGTCTGCTGTTCCGGTGGAAGAGAAAATTGATGTGATTGGCATCACAATATATTATCATATGCGTCATAGTTTGGCAGCTTTGCACGGTGCCAAGCCCATACGCCCAGCCACCACTTGGGCCGGTTGCCGAGGACAAAAAACTCAAGAGAGAAATTGTGACCCAGGTCAAGGAAAGAGAAGCGCCAAGAGAAGCACCAGAGGCTGCACCCAAAGATGCAAAGAAAAAACTGAAGGAACCCAACGACCCGAAGACTTCTGATGAGAAAGAAGACGCGAAGGACAGTGGCATGCATACTGCATGGGGCAGGAAGGGAAAGGAACCATTGCAAAGCGTTTTAAGGGACCCCACAATGACAGCTCTTGATGGTGGTAAGGCAGCCAAGCTCGAAGCACGAACACTGCTGGATGCACCCAAGATCCCCGATGGCAAGATCGAGCAAAAGTGGGCTAAGAAAGGACCACGGTGGCATATGGTGTCCTCTGAGTTGTGAAGGTGTACAAATTCATTGCAATGATAGGTTGAAGTTTTGCGAGATTGCACCTTGTGTTTTCATGTGTTTTCAAGGTCCCAACCCATTCGGGAAACTGATTGAAACAAGGTGAAAGCAGAAAGCATCAGATTGTTCAGTATCCAGATAGGCCTGTAAACTGTAATAGGCTCCTTTTGGAGCTGCAACCCGTGTAGATGCAGATACAGCACATGCTCTACTTCTCTCTACTTTGCTGTTGGGACGGAAGGAAACAAGGCTCCTCCGCCAGATGTCGTCGCTGTGGCTTGGATTTTTGCTGACGACCATGCGGCCAATCCGGGCCATACTTGTACGCAAACAGAGACACATTCTGAAAGGTGTCATGGAATCATGGAAGCGCTTGAGATACCATTTGGGGTGGTAGGCGTGTCATGATGTCTCCCCAATTGTCCAACTCAGGAAAAAATCCCACTGCCAGTTGAAGTGGGTCTCCAACGTCAAGTGACTTTGCTGAAACCTGCTGACCTTTTCGAATTATTATTAAGTGGCTACGCCCCCTGCCGCCGACCCCTGGGAGAGAGGGGGAGTTGACACATACGTCACTTCCCGAACCTACAAGAAAACTATATGGGTACGAGTCAAAATACAAGGTATGGATCAAGGCGCCAAAGCTACACACGATCCATACCCCCCGATCCATACTTTGATCCATACCCTTGATCCATACCCCAGATCCATACCCCTTTCTCGTTGAAGAAAGACTGATGCTGGCCTTAACGATGCTTTTTATCCTAATATATACTGCTTCTGGTCGTCGTACTGCTACTCCCATCGCTACTACCGTTGCTTCTACTGCTGCCTCCACTGCCTCCGCTGCTGCTGCCGCCGCCACTACTAGTGATTATCCTCCCAGGAGCTGCTGCTACTGCTCCTGCTGGTCGTGCTCTCGCTGCTGGTGCTGGCTCACGTTCTCCGTGTGCTTCGGTAGTTGGACAAATGTAACTAGTTGACTAGCTACTCGCAATATTGCAAGTGCACCTTGGAGGCTTGTAAGACCGGTTCTACTTCCACTAGGTGCTTATTGTACTTCTAGTGGTGCTATGACTACAACTCCTTCTGTTTCTACTTTGCCTGGCACGTGTAGAACTAAAAAAGCATGGTGTCCTGATCCATACCCCGATCCAGACCCGTTCCATGCCTGGTCCATATCCGAACCCAGTCACGCCACAACAAGTGCCAATATGAAAGTTCGAATCTGTTACTACTGCTGCTGCTGCTTCTTGCTCTACTTGTGCTTCTACTTCTACTTCTGCTTGTACTTCTACTTCTACTTTTGCTGCTACTACTACTACTTCTACTACTACTGCTGCTGCTGCTACTATTACTACTACTCCATTAGATTATTTTACTGTTATTACTTTGACTCTTACTAGTGCTACTGTTACTGCTACTGCTATTTCCACTGCTACTGCAGCTCCTCCTTGTATTGCCGCTACTGCTGCTGGTGTTGTTTTTTTTTTACTGCTCCCTCTACTAGCAGTGGCAACAGTTTTAGCAGCAACAGTAGCAGGAGGAGAAGTAATAGCAGGTAGGAGAGAGTAGGAGTATCAGCACAGTTTGTATGCTATGGTTGATTCTGGACGAATTCAGCATGGTTAGCGCAGAATTGCTGGCGCAGCTGGAACTTCGGTGCCGCGAGCTGTTGCGGGACCTCAGCATGGCCAAGTATGACCGCGACGGAAAAATCCGGCCCTTTGGCGGTTTGAACGTGATTTTGGCGGGAGATCTGTACCAGCTGCCACCCCCAAAAGGAACGTTTCTGGGAGATATCCCCTGGGATTTGTTGGCCGGACGCAAAAGCACACGGCAGGCACCCGGACATCAGGGCCAAACCCTTCTTTGGGGCAGCCCCACAGCAGGCATGCAAGGTGTTACGGAATTGGTGCGCTGTGAGCGCACACAAGACGCTTGGCTAGCGGAACTTCAAGGACAGCTCCGTCATGGGCAGCTATCCGACGATAACCATAAGTTTTTGCACGGCAAGCCCACGACGGTGCCAGGAAGCTGGATTGCTGGGCACGCAACGTGTCAACGACCTGCTTGCGCCGCTTTAATCACGCAAGGTTTGTCTCCAGAAGCCATTCAACTGGCCGAATGCGACACGTGTGCGACTGATCGCCGCTCGCGTATACTTGTCGCCCAAGGCGATGCGGACGGTCGGTTTCAGAACGAGTTCAGCGATGCAGTTGCAATCTTCGGCACAAATGACATCAAATATCACGTCAACAAGGTCCGCGCCCTCCAATGGGCAAACGCCCGAGGACACCTACCGTATTTATTTGTGGCACGCGATCTTGCTTCGGCAGCGGTCCTCCAAGAAAAGCCGACGGCCGAGAAATTGCAGTGGTTGCAGCGACACGACAAGGAATGCGGTGGGCTGTATGGCGTCTTGCCGCTGTGCGTGGGCATGCCTGTTCGGGCCACAGACCACCTAGACCGCAAGCGTGGAATCCTGAAAGGCACAAAGGGCTATGTAGTCGGTTGGTCTGCGATTGCCGATGCGACACCTGCACCCGAAGGAATGGTGTGCAACAACTTGCCGGCCGTGGTATACGTGAAGTTTGACACCGCCACTTCGTGGCAAATATCCGGTGTCCCGGACGCAAACGTCTACCCAGTTGTGACCTGTAGACGCGTGTGGTACTTGGACCGGCAACGTCGAAGCCCCAAGCTCCGTGTCTCACGCACGCAATTCCCGCTGGCGCCGCAGTTTGCTATCACAGCGCATGTCGCACAAGGCCAAACCATCAAGGAAGGCGTGACGACAGATCTTTGCATAGGGCCAAGGGGAAATCCATTTACCGTCTACGTCGCCATTACCCGCGTGCAAGGCCGTGAGAAGCTCCTGATCTTTCGACCTTTTGACGCCGCTCCGTTCCAGAAAGGTATTGGTTTAGGGCGGGACCTGCTGCTCCGACATCTTCGCAGGGAACCGATCAATTGGCAGGACTTGCTGGCCAAATATTGTGAAGAACGCGCGTGTTCAACCTGCGCAGAGCGCAAGCCATCTACAGCTTTCACCGCTGGCCAGTGGAAGCGCGACGACAAAGATCGCGTTTGTCGCGAATGCACAAAGCATTACGCAGATGCCGGGACGCCATGGCAATGCAACGTGTGCAAGCTGTGGCATGTCGAGACCAATTTTCCGGAAAAGCACCGCCAACGGCAATGTAGTTTTTTCCGTGTGTGTTTGACATGCGAAGCTAAGAAACCATGTTTCAAATGTGGGGTTCCCAAGCCAGAGAAAGACTATGGCCCTGCTGCCTGGAAAGCTCGCAATGCTGACCGACGCTGTTGCCGTGACTGCGTCCAGAAGCTGCGGGGGCATTGGTCTTGCGCCGAATGCTTAGAGCGAAAACCGCACGCAGAGTTTACGGCTTGGCGCGAAAGCCGCGATGCCAGTCAAAATGGCAGGCAGTGTTGCAACACGTGCATCAGCTTAGCCTTGGTGTGTCAAATTGCCCGTCGCGCAAACAAACGGTTGACGCCGCTACGGCGGCGCGAGCAAAGTCGACGGCAACAGGCCATCATAGACGAAGTGCGCCAAGAAATTCTGGAAAGGACCAGGCAGATAACGACAAAGGCGCTCACCCAAGAAATGCAAAGCTGCAAAGACCGACGGCCAGAGTGCGCGACCGGTTCCGTGAGCCCTGCGGCTGCCACCGCAAGCGCCGCCAGCCAGGAAGACCCGTGCCCGCCAGAGCCGGATGTGAAAACGAAGAATGGCAGACAGAAGCGCTGGTACCAATGTCCATTCTGCCAGCAACAAGTGAAAAAGCACTGTGGAGACTGGGCAAATTAATCACTCGTTTGCGTGCGGAAAATTTTTCCGTGTCGTTGGCGGCTTTGTCACCGGTCGCATTCACAAACACGCATGCCCAACGTGCGCAACAATCGTTTACTCAGAAAAGGCCGCTGGCCAAATCAAAGCCAGGCACAGAAACTCTGCCGGACGCGCATGCCGCCGGGAAAGCTGGAACGTGACGGCAACGCTGGACCAATGCTAGTTTCCAACTTGCTTGCGTCCTTGTGCCGCTCGCTTTCGTCTTGTCCAGCCAGCCGTCCAGACAGTGCCAAGCGTCACTGTCTGAACCCGCAAGCTTGACCTGCCTTTCTGCACTGCATGCCAACTGCCAACTTGCTCATGGTTTCCTGGAGCTGGCTATCGTTCTGCCCAGCTTCCAAGACGTCAATTTCTGAACCAACTAGAACCTAAACTATAGCTCCAAACCTTGACTTTTCCTGCGTTTCTGCACTGCCAACTGCCACCCTGCTCGTGTCCTCCTGGAGCCGGCTTTTGTTCTGCACAGCTTCGGTCCAAGCTGGAGTCCAAGGACCGTGTCGCAGGGCTAAAACACCATGGCAGTGAAGGACGGATTGGGCCCGCGGCCCGTATCCTAGCCTGCCAAACGTCACTTTCTGAACCGACTAGAAACTAGCTCCAAACCTTGACTTTTCCTGCGTTTCTGCACTGCCAACTGCCACCCTGCTCGTGTCCTCCTGGAGCCGGCTTTCGTTCTGCACCGCTTCGGTCCAAGCTGGAGTCCAAGGACCGTGTCGCAGAGCTAAAACACCATGGCAGTGAAGGACGGATTAGGCCCGCGGCCCGTATCCCAGACTGCCAAACGTCACTTTCTGAACCGACTAGAAACTAGCTCCAAACCTTGACTTTTCCTGCGTTTCTGCACTGCCAACTGCCACCCTGCTCGTGTCCTCCTGGAGCCGGCTTTCGTTCTGCACCGCTTCGGTCCAAGCTGGAGTCCAAGGACCGTGTCGCAGGGCTAAAAACACCATGGCAGTGAAGGACGGATTGGGCCCGCGGCCCGTATCCCAGACTGCCAAACGTCACTTTCTGAACCGACTAGAAACTATCTCCAAACCTTGACTTTTCCTGCGTTTCTGCACTGCCAACTGCCACCCTGCTCGTGTCCTCCTGGAGCCGGCTTTCGTTCTGCACCGCT